GATGGCATCCAGCCCAAGAGCAATCCTCCAACCTACAAGCGATGGCCTCCAACCTAAGAGCGATGGCCTCCAACAGCGATGGCCTCCGACCTAAGAGCGATGACCTCCAACCTAAGAGCGATGTGTGGTAATGAAACAATTCGGATGTCATGCTGCCTTCCTCTCAGAAAAACAAGGCATACTGCACTCACTTCGGCAAAAGAAAAGCGCATCCACGCACATGGAGAGAATGCAAAGTGGCTTTGTGGCAACTCAGCGCTTGACATTGTAAGCCTCCATCTTTGGTAAACCACCTGAAGCGCCTCCCACAAAGTGTGCCTTAAAGTCGCCACGTCGAAGAGCGCCCAAATGATCCCCACTGTAGTGGAAGATTTTCTTCCTCCGTCCATGTCCTTCTCCCAATAGCAGCAAGGCAGCTTGATCCAACCCATCGGTGACACGATCATTGGGGATATGTTCTAAGGCGCCGCCCAAACGAGCTGCAGTGGTGTAGAGGTCGGTGATCTGAAGAAGATCCACGGGGTCCTGGAGGAGCCACTTGGAAAGTGCATGAAAACATGCACTATGAATGTCAAGAACTCCTCTTTCGTTGTTTTCTTTGTATACTAGTAACAAGAAGCTACTAGTAGCAAAGGGCATTGCTACTAGGAGCAAGGACGCTACTAGTAGCTCCTGGCCATACTACTAGGAACAAGAAGCTACTAGGGGCTCCTGGCATCGCTACCTAGGAGCAAGCAAACTACTAGGAGCAAAGGGCACCTGTTACTACTAGCGTGGCACTTGTTACTAGCTAATTCCGCAAACCTTTCTTGCCTGGTTCGCTTCGATCATCCCAGGCCACCATGCCATGGCTGGCGTCCGCACACCACCTTCCCACACAGAGCCCTTCCCACCTTTCAGCCAGGAATAGCCCGAATTGGGGTAGAAGGCGTACATGGGGCCATTGTCACTGATCCAAACAACCAACGTATTTTCAGCAATCTTCTCATCCTTCAAAGTCTGCAGCAATTGAGTCACATAGGAACTGTGGGCGGCCATCATGGAGGCCTGGGAGTTCACGTGGTCCACATGCTTTTCATTTGCGTGCGAGGTTACGCCTGACAACTGCTGGGCATACGTTGCCCAGTAGATGAAGAAAGGCTTCACATCGTTGGCCTTTTCTTTCACGTACTTCAAGATTTGGTTGATTGATTCTTCTTCAAAGGCCTCCTGCCTGTCGTGGGGAGGGAGGCCATCGCTATTAGAAACAAAAAAGGCAGATTCTTCGTCAAAGGCCTCCTCCTGCGTGTCGTGGGTGGAGGCCATCGCTAGTAGGTTGGAGGCCATTGCTATAGGTTGGAGGCCGTCGCTATTAGACACAAAGAAAAACACAGATGCTTCGTCAAAGGCCTCGTGCCTTTGAGGTCCCGGCTTTCCAGCCAGCCCTTCAATTGGCTTCCGGCCCTTTTCCTTGCGCCCCACGTAGGCCGAGACGGACAAATCGATGCCTGTATCTTCCTTGTAAGCCTCAGCCAAACTCCAATCCTCCAACTTCCCTTACCAGGCAAGAAAGGTTTGCTCCTAGTAGCGTCCTTGCTCCTAGTAGCGATGCCAGGAGCCCCTAGTAGCTTCTTGTTCCTAGTAGTATGGCCAGGAGCTACTAGCAGCGTCCTTGCTCCTAGTAGCAATGCCCTTTGCTACTAGTAGCCTCAATTCCAGGGAAGTCCAGGAAAGTTGGAGGATTGGAGTTTGGCGCCGCCACCAAGTCGTATGCATCCGGCCAGAGGTCGGGAGCACCATTGAAGAGTCCATAATAGGCATACTCGAAGCCCTGGTTCTCTGGAGCATGCTCGGGCTCTTCGCCTCGAAGAGAAGCTCTGAGATGTTGAATGAAAACAAAATTGAAATGTGTTTTTGCTTTTTAATCAGAACCTCCAAGACTTCCAAGTTTGGCTGATTCCCTGTTAGTGTTTGCCTGCTCAGAGCAAGCTAGCACCCACTTGAGATGCGAATACCTTCGGACCTTGCGCTCTTAGTTGATGACACCCAGGCCAGCCTCAGCAGCCTATGCTAAGACTCCTTTGATGTTCCAAAAGAAAAGCGGTCTTGCAGGGAGTCCAACGGAAGTACCAAAAAGCGAATCAGCCTATAGTAGTAGCAGTAGCTATTTGCTCCTAGTAGCAATGCCCTTTGTTACTAGTAGCGATGCCCTTGTTACTAGTAGCTTCTTGTTTCTAGTAGTAATGCCAGGAGCTACTAGTAGCGAACATTGCTCCGTTCGTAGCGCAAAGAAGTGCCAAGTGGAATCCAAATGACCTAAGTGCCAGTAGTAACGTCCTTGTTACTACTAGTAAGGCACTTGTTACTAGTAGCGATGCACTTGTTCCTAGTAGCTTCTTGCTCCAAATGACCTAAGTGCCACTTGCCCCACATCGCAGTGGAATAGCCTGCGGCACCCAAGACTTCGGGCAAGGTCACTTCGTCAGGGCTGAGCCCATCCGTTTGACCTGGCCACAACACCGTGGTCAGCCCCGTGCGCACCGGGTGCCGGCCGGTCATGATGGCGACCCGGCTGGGAGTGCAACTGGGTTCCGAATAGGAGGACCAAAATCGCATGCCTGCATAGGCCATCGCATCTAAACCAGGTCCAGGCGTACCACGATGCTTTCCACCTCCCTGCCATCCCAGCTCTCCAAAGCCAATGTCATCTGAAAGAATGTAAATGATATTGGGCTTCTTTTTGAATTTCGCCTCCAATACTTTCAGTTTTTCGTTAATCTGGGAATCCTCTTTCGTCCATGACACGTTGTTCTTTGCTTGGGCTTCTTCAAAGTAGGCATCGAACTGGACCGCTCCAGGCTCGAGGAACTGCAGCAATGTGAGGAGGACAGCAATGAACGGCATGGCCGACCGGCTAAGCTGCTCCTGCACCTGCCCTCAAAGCTGCGAATGGAGAAACTCAAAGCTGCGTGTTCTCAGTTTGCCCAAGCCATGAAAATCATGAAGCAAAAACCATCCAATTACATGCTTCAGCGTACACGGCGTTCAAAGGCCTTTGTCTGGTTCCCAATAGGAATGTCCTCCAACCTACTAGCGATGTGCTAGTCCTACTTGCGTTGATGACTCCCAAGAATCATAATTCCCCCCCCACGCCGAACATTCACCTACGGGTTGGGCTTTGGATCGAGAGATTGACCAAGGCATTGGATCTCGGCAAGTGGATCGGCGCGTGACCTCGGTCTTCAGGTTCTTGATCTCCTTCTGCATCTCATCCATCCTGGGAGCGGCGTTGCTTGGACTGGATGCCAAATAAGTCGTACAACAGCGGTTGAATTCCTGGTCATCTACTAGGAGTGGTTAGCATGTCTCAGTCGAGCAGCTGCTGTTTGATTGCCTCAAATTCCTCCTTCTTGTCCTGTCAATCAGAAGAAGAGCGTCAAGAAGAACTCTTTCAACACTGGAACCTTTGAGAACCGGCAGCAGAACCCCTTGAATTGTCCAAAATGACCAGCCCTGTGAATGGATTTCTGCTTCGTCTCAGACTCCATCGCTCGATGTGGCGAAGCCCCTCCTTCTCCAGAGACTCTTGTTTCAGGAAAGCTCCGATGAAAAGATCCACCTGAAAAAAAGCGCGGAACGACCGGCAACGCTTCATGGCGGAATCCTCAGAACCGCCAGTGCTTGATTCGTCTCGGGTCGGTCTCGATTTTACGAAAAACAAATAACAATAATAGTAGCGACGCCCTTTGCTCCTAGTAGCGTCCTTGCTCCTAGTAGTAAGGCCAGGAGTCCCTAGTAGCGTCCTTGCTCCTAAACTTGATGATGAGACATGTTCTTTCATTAATTCTGCAATGCATGTGACCGGCACATCAAAGTGATTGCAAAAATGAAGCCCTCCAACTGGAGAGAGCGAGGTAGGGAGGTCGGTTTTTTGCAGCTTCCAACTTCATAGTCTGCCAAACTGAGTTGGAAATTGAACAAATTATATGGTGGAAACAAAGACATGCCTCGGCTTGGATATCCTCCAGGAGCTTCCCTTGCCGTCTGATGTCCTAGTTCAAATAAAAATGGAAGTCGTTCGGGTCTCTGTGTTCGATGGTTGGATGTAATGAATCGTGTCCTCTTCTTGGAGCTTTGTCGTCTTCTCCAGCTCCTTCCAGAGACGTAGATCCCACCAATGAGAGTGGTTCTGCTTATGTTGCTTGTGGATTCCCTAAAAAGCTAGGAACCACATGAATAGTGCGAGCACTTCTTCAAGGAAGCTCCCCCCCTCAGGCAGGGGGAGCTTCCTTACAGAAGCTTGAGCTACCCTGTGTCCATATGTAGTAGCAGATTAATGCAGATTACCTACAAGTAGTAGCTTACTTAATTCAGTGGCTGCCTACTTAAGTAGTTTGGTTGACCCTATTTAAGTCGCCGCCTACGTAAATAAGGGCGGGCTTCAAAAAACACTTAACGAGCCGTCTCTTCTTCCGTCTCCTTCTTGTTCACCTCTAAGGGTGGCAAGGTCTCCAGGACACTATCTTTATCTGGCAGCGAAGACAACTCTGACGGCATCGTCCAAACTGGGCGGCGCACGTGATAAGCTTTGTCTGTATCTGCGCTTCATCCGTTCGAACCTCAAAACACTTGTTACCACTCGTTGTGTTCGGACTGGAATCTGAGGATAGCAACAAAACTGGCCGACTATCTTCCAAACGCCAACTCAGGCCCGTGCTGTTTCTGATGAGTTGTCACCTGCACACTACCCCTGGTCTATTTGGAAAGAGATTCTTCACACAAGGGTTTGGGATATGCTAAACGGTGTGGTGGAGAGATTCATGTGATGTGAGTGTCCAACGAACTATGTGAAGCGTTACCTTGTCACTTCTGTCCCTCATCCGGCCTCCTGTTGCGCATGTCTGTTCTGAGCCTCAAAAAGCTCTATGTTCTGTTCAGCAAAGAGCAGGGTCTAAGGACCTAGTTGACCCCGCTGTTGCCATCTTGAACGAATTCTTAGCTTCGCCAAGGTTGGCACTGGAAAGCCAAGTGGCACGTTTAGTCTTGAACCAGTCCACAGCACTGGGACACCAGCATTGAGATCTTCCAAGTCTTTGTCCAGAGCATTGCGCTTTAAGACCTCGGCCAGGACTCGAGGCATCTCTGAAATAGAGCAGGAGGCCTTTGAAGAAGAATATCTAGAAATATCTAGAATATTGTCTCCACCACCCATGGACAATACCCGAGGCATCATCACAACTCTGTATTGCTCTTGGGGCCGGGCCAGCTCCTGGTGTGTCAACCCTTCCTTCTCCAATTTTGTCTTGGTCTCCTCTGGACTCTGAAACAAAACATTAGCATTCATCACAAGGATTCATTTGAGACTGGCTGGGTAAGAACATGTTTCAGTTTGAACATCAGGTTGGAGGCCATCGCTGATGGGTGAACCAACCATGGTGACCGAGGCTTCTCACGGAGTGGAAGTGTTCGGAACTCCTGGCAGGACGTGTCCGTGATCTTGGAGCTTTCCTTCATCAGCGTAAGCCGCATTTCCTTCTTCGCCCTAACAAGGAAGACGCGTTTTTTGGTCCAGCAGTGTTTTTTGGTCCAGTCCTTCTCACTTTCCGGACGCGTCGTACGTCTCAACTCACGTGATTTCTAAGCTTGGATCGCCTGGATTCGTCGATCTCCTTGGCTTCTTTGTTAATCTCCCAGGCTTGGTCATTCGCCGCCTGGATGGCCGAGACCTTCTCCTTCTGCGCCTGACGACTCGGCGTTTGCCGTCGGCGTCAACGTCGAGTCGAGGTCAACGCGGCCGCCGATCGGCCTCCTGCAAGGCGCGCACCGCGTTTTCAAACTTCTCTGCCTGGCGCCGCAAGAAGTGGCACAAGAGGTTTGAACAACTTCATGTTTATATGAAGCTCTTGCTCTCAACATGTCTGCCTGCCAATTTAAAGGAGCAATGATGACCAGTCGAAAAAAGGGACACAATGAGATGTTGACTCCAAAGTTCCAATAAGATCAGCTGATCTTGCAATTCAGTGACTTCGAACTTTTCCCCAGAAGGCTCCACACCGTCCAGATGGAAAGAAGAAAAAACAAGGATTGCCGCCCACTTCGAAGACGAAGGAAAATCAAAGTCGTTTCCGGTGAGAACAGCGCGCTGTGCGAAATGAGCCCCAATAATCACGGTAGGACCACACTCCTTGGCAAGGCTCAACAAGAATGCTATGGTGGGTCTTCTCAGAATTGAGGATGATGTATTTCCCTTACATCTTCTTTCTCAACTTTTGCCCAAACAATTTGAAGAAAGAACTGCAGCATTGGTCACATAAACGTGTTCATCTCTTCTTCCCCACCCAAAAAAAAACACTTCAAAATGCCGGTTTCTGTTGAATCAAGTTCAATGAGCTTCAGATTAGCTCGAATTGGGAACGCCAAGGATCTCTTCTCGAAAACAAAGTCACCCTTCACCGCATGTTGCGACAAGAAGTAGCGGTAGGGCCAGCTCAAGAACAAGAAGCAAGCAACCGCCTCAGGAGCAAAAACTCTAGGTCAATACCAGCAAATGTGTTCTATTGGCGTACAACGTACTGGGGATGTCGAGCAAGCCATTGGACATGAATTACCAATATCCAGCAAGAAAAAACCATGCCTTGGGAGAAGGTCTTGAAGGACATGGCCTCCCTTTGATGCCAACAAGTCACTTTCCGAAGCACATAAAATGGTTCACGCCAAGGTACATATGGCAAGTAGCCCAGCCACACTGGAAAAGCCTCGCCAGTGGTTCCAATCATGTCAGCGTAGAAGGGACACTCTTGTCCATGTTCGTCGATCAATCGCAACTCTTCAGAGGTATCGTGTTGGGAATCCTCAGCACTGGTCGACCCAAAAGCCTTGATGAGGCAAGCTTGAGAAAGTGTTTTTACTTGTTTCATCATTTTTGTACCACTACAGGTGCTTCACGAAGAACTCTACCAATCAAGTGCGCCTGGCAAAGCTTTTTCTACCCCAAACCTGATGATGTTCCGGTTGGGCATCACAACCCCCTCAATACTCAAGAAAAAAAGAATGATCAAATCGCCAGGTGGCAGCTGCATGGGCCCTGGCCCTTAGAGCTTCTCGCTGCTGTTCGTGCGCACGATGGGTTTCGGGGTCTGCAGCCTCTCATGGCAGACCACAAGTGGTCAGAAGGGATGGAGCATGAGTGTGCGATACAATATATACCATACTGATACTAGGAGCGACGCTACTAGGGGCTCCTGGCCTTACTACTAGGAACAAGAAGCTACTAGGGGCTCCTGGCATCGCTACGAACGGAGCATATTGATAGAGAAAAATCCCTTTTAAACACAAGAGTTGCGTGTTTGCCGGTGGTATTTGCCAGGCGAAAAAGCGCTGCCAGGCATTTCCGTGGCCTCCCACTTCAAATCGAAATGCACTTGGAGGAGCGGGAAGTAGCTGAGGCCATCCACCACCTGCGAGAGCTGAGCCCATTTCGTCAGAAAGACTTGACGATGTAGAACTTTTGTTTTTGTGTTCTTTCCCTCTTTGAGGCCATCTTGTAATTAAATGAAACACTATGACACATGATTTGTCTTTTTGTCTTTAGACTCTAAAGAAACTCTGCTAGTAACAAGAAGCTACTAGGGGCTCCTGGCCTTACTACCAGGAACAAGGATGCTACTAGGGGCTCCTGGCATCGCTACTAGGAGCATTCTTACTACTAGCAACAAGAAGCTACTAGGAACAAGTGCATCGCTACTAGTAACAAGTGCCTTACTACTAGTAACAAGAAGCCGACTCTTTAGACCTCGAATCGGTTTCCTTCAGATTTCGAGAGTTTCCGAACAGGGCATGCCCAAAGAAATTCGCACGGCATGTCCAGTTCCCGTCAGCATAGAGAAGATGATTCAACAACACACAAGGCTTCTTTCTTTAACAATTTTGTCTCAATACCAAAAAAACTGTTCTACCTTTCTTCCTTTTCCTTTTTCTTTGTTTCTAGTGGCGATGGCCTCCAACCTAATAGAAAAAAAGCTTGTGAAAAATGTGTCATGCTTCTTGTACTTGCAGCACACCCATCACGCACCTCGCCCGTGTCATCTGCCCATCGTGCCACCCGGAGGCGCTCGGTCAATCGAGCGGTGTCCACACGCTCCTGATAGACCTCCTGGGCCGGTGGGTGCAGAAACTGACATGCCCAAAGAAACTTCAATTCTGCCCATGTTTGCGATCTTTTCGGTGCTTTGTGGCTTTGTCTGTGTTTTTCTTGGATGTCAAATGCGCAGGGTTTCCGAACATGCCAAGTATCTGTCCGGGTCCCATCTTTGCCTGTGACCGTTCGCGTGCGCGTCTCCATGTGATAGCATTGAGCATTCACTTCGGGTGCAGGCCTGCAAGCCTTAGAGCTTCGAGTAGTGAACGCCTCCACCCTAGTAGCGATGGCCTCCAACCGAATTGCATGGCAGTGTGTTCTAATGCTATCTGATTCTACCATTCCTTCTCGGTCCAGTACTATTTGTTCATCTGCATCATGTGTCTTGCTGACCATCATCTGTTCGTCTGGAGCCCTTGTTGGAGCCCTAAATAAGCGCCGTGGAACCTTGATCTCCTCGATATAGTCAAGGATGCTATCCTCAGTGATTCCGGCTTTTATTGTCGGTGAAACACTGTCACTTCACCCGTGCAACCAACGGCTTCGATGCTGGACGTGCGATCTCTTGCGCTGCTCATCCAGTCTTATTGATATCTGAGCCGAGCACCGTTTGTTTCAGCCTCATCAAACCTTTCGCCGTTGGATTGAAAAATAGCGCCTCCAACAAATAGATCACATACCACACCAACAAGCCTCAGGGAAATGCTTTCTCAACCGAATGACCACGGACAGGTCATACTGTTATGACCTGTCATACATGTTTAGGTATTTTGTTCGTTCAAGAATCCTTAGAATCCGCCGACCCCACACCGTGGGGTCAGGGCGTGACTGTTGATGTTAGCCTTAGCCTTAAGCCTTAGCCTTAGCCTTAGGCCCTAGTCCTTAGCCTTAGACCTAGTCCTTAGCCTTAGACCTAGACCTTAGACCTTACCTCCCCTACCCCTCCGGACCCTTGTTACAGTGACGAAATCCGGTCGAATTTCTCCAGGAAAGCGACCTGGATTGTCCAAGAATCTGCCATCCCCAATTGATTTACATCTTGGGGCACCCTCTCGACCCGCGCGGGAAAATAAGCACGGTCCAAAATGGTCCTGGGCTCGAATCCCGGGCTGGTCGCGGCATGGTCCCGGCCAATGCCCTTGTTTTTTTCGTAGATTTTGTCACGTTT